ACCTGCTGTGCGGCTCAGTTCCCAGCGGTCTGCAGCCTGTGGTCCGACAGCACCACCTTTCAACCTTCCTTCCCCTCAGCAAGGTCAGATTAAGTGGCTCCCAGGGTCATTTGCATTCTAGCGGAAAACACCGTCATGCTAGAGAAGGCACCGATAGCAAACATGCTCAGTCAGGATGGGTGCTAAGGGACAGGCAATTTTCCCTTCTCAGACAATACAGTAAAGCAAGAAAAAGAAATCTTATGTTTTCTTGTGTTCACAACTGTCGAGGCCCCCTGGAGGCAGGCCACCATAGAATTAAATCCAGAAGACTTTAAAAAGCGAGTATATGACTATTTCCTCACTTTTTAAAATCTTTCCTGTTTCAAAGTCAAGTGATCTGGCAATGACATGGAGCTGAAATCACAGACCTGCCTGTTGCCCCAGAGCCAGCCGCTCTCAGGGCAGGGGTCTTCTCTCAAGCTCCCTGCCTGAATAACACAGGCTATGTGGGAGCACTACTGTGGCCCAGGGCCCCACAGCCCACCTGCAGAGAGTCTGCCTGCCCTGGCCTTCCCTTTCCTGTCTAGCTGCTCACCAGGTCATGGCTCTCAATAAGCACACACAGAAAACTTGCTCATTCTCTTCTTTCCACTCATTAAAAATAAACCCCAATGGTACCCAGATTTAGAACACACCTACCAATGAAAAGTGAAATGAAGAGAGAGAGGCACCCACCCACATACTCTTTCCATTCAAAGAGGCACTCTTCCACAGCTGCTATGGAGTTTATAATTAACAGACAAACTTAACCAACAACAGAAATTTCTGGAATCTCTTGTAATTTACACTAGAGTCTGGCTTATTCCAAATTTAGATCACATGCACGGCTAGATTCCACAGCAGAATCCAAGGCTTCTTGGCACACCTCTAGCTTGGGTTTCTGCAATCACTCAGCAGTGCCTGAGGACAGCGGCTGCAGGATGACTAAGGTGCAGGCTGACCCAGTGTGCAGGCAGACACAGTGGCTGCTCCAAGGTGACATGGCTCGCTCACATCAAGAGCCCCATCAATGCCTACCCCTAGCTCCATGGAGCTGTGCCAGGAGTATCCACAGGAGAAATGTCAGATTACACTCAGACGTATTCTGCCTTCTACACAGCTTCTGTTTCCTTTCCCACCTGCCACCCCAGGGTGAATCCTCTCACACCAGGTTCCAAGACAAAGGCGTGTAGTGAGGCATGTCTGAGCACCAGGCTCTGCCTGTCAGAAGGCCGTGCCACCGAGAAGACAGATGAGAAGGGTGGGAGGACAGCAGCTTCACTGGGAGTCTTCTTTACCACTGGAACCTCCTTTATCAAGAACTACTATAGGTGGCGCCCATAGCTCAGTAGACAGGGCAGCAGCCACGTACACTGAGGGTGGCGAGTTCGAAACCAACCCGAGCCAGCTAAAAAACAACAATAACAACTGCAACCAAAAAAACAGCTGGGCATTGTGGCAGGCGCCTGTAGTCCAAGCTACTTGGGAGGCTGAGGGAAGAGAATCTCTTAAGCCCAAGAGTTTGAGGTTGCTGTGAGCTATGATGCCATGCACTCTACCCAGGGCGACAGCTTGAGAATCTGTCTCAAAAAAAAAAAAAAAAAAGAACTACTATATTAGAACAAGAAGTCTCTAATTACAAGAAAGGGAAATGAGGCTCAATAAGAGGAAGAAACTTGCCCAGGCCACACTATTACTTCCTGGTGACTGAAGGACTAGACCCCAGTTCCAGGCATCTTTCCCTGTAACTCTGGAGACAGTCCCAGGGCTTCTATGGGATTTGTAAAATGGCACAGAACTGGCAGACACTTCGTAGACATTTACACAGGTTACCTCCACCGATGAGTGAGTTGTTCAGTCAGACAGGGTAACACCACCACACTAGGTGACTCCGAAGTCCACCCTAACCTCACTGTCTCTGCAGGAGTACCAGAAAGATCTCCCAGTTCCCCAAATACTCCCTGCAAAGGCTGGCGAGGGTGGGGACAAGACCTTCAAGGACCATCGGAGTAAAGTGGGCGTAAGTGTGTCTAAGTTCTCGATGAGTGCTGCCATTCCTGCAGGAAAGAACGTGCTTCTGGGCTGTGAGCTGCCATTATCCTCCCGGTGTTAGACACGGGCCCCACCTCGGAAACAGTGAGCCGCCATTATCCTCCCGGTGTTAGACACGGGCCCCACCTCGGAAACAGTGCATCCAGGAGCTTAGTTCAAGACCAGTCAGTTTTAACAGGAGGGGGAAGCAAACCTCCGTTTTTAATCTTTTCCAAAATGAAGACCATTTGTTAAAGCCAACAGTCTTCCTGCCACCTCCATGATAGCTGGACATTATACTTTCCTATTATATTATTAGTAAACCATATAGGTTTTATCAATTTCTGAATTAGTGGTACTTTCAACTGAATTTTTATTTTAGTGAAAAGTATAATCTAAAAACCTATAGTATCAGGTACATTATACATATAAGGCTGTTGGTCTGTATATGATTCTACCATCCCCTTCCTTGAAATCCCAGAGTTTAGGGGCCACAGGTTAGAAAACCTACAGCTAGATCATGGGGTATTATTGCTCCTAGGTGAGCCGGCCTGGTGGGTATCTGAAGGAGGGCTCTAGGAGGGAACCTGGGAGCAAAGAATAAGAAAGAGGGAGCCCACAATGCACACTTCACATGTTTCATAATTTTGCTTACAACAAACCCTGAAGCTCTTTTTCCAAAGGTCAAAATAAACATTAATGATTATAATTTATCCTGATGTAACAACACAATTAATTCACAATCACAAAGATGTGGAAACAACCCAAGTGTCCTTTAATACATGACAAGATTAATGAAGTGTGGTATATGTATACCATGGAATACTATTCAGCCATAAAAAAGATAGAGATTTTTGTATCTTTTTTTTTTTGAGACAGAGTCTCAAGCTGTCGCCCTGAGTAGAATACTGTGGCATCATAGCTCACAGCAACTTCAAACTCTTGGGCTTGAGTAATTCTCTTGCCTCAGCCTCCCAAGTAGCTGGGACTACAGGTGTAGGCCAACACACCCATCTAGTTTTTCTATTTTTAGTAGAGAGAGGGTCTTGCTCTTGCTCAGGCTGGTCTCAAACTGAGCTCAAGCAACCCCTTGGTCTCCCAGAGTACTAGGATTACAGGTGTGAGCCATCACGCCCAGACTAAGATTTTCTGTATTTTGTAACAACCCAGAGGGAATTGGAGGCCATTCTCCTAAATGAAATACCACAAGAATGGAAAAACAAACACCACAAGTACTCAATGCTAAATTGGAACTAGTAGATGAATGAACACCTACATACTCAC